TTGGGGACCCCTGGCCTACATAACTAAAATTATAAACTGCCCAGAGAGGGCTTTAAGCACTATGGGGTGGTATATAAGCAGGCAGCACACTTTGCTTTGCTTTATGCCATTAATGGCACAGGTACAGCTCCCTCATGAAGGTGAATGAGTGAGAAGAATGCACACTGCAAAGGACTTGACCTAATCACCGAGTCAGGTGTCTTTCTCTGACACATTTCTACCACAACTCATACCCCACTGGTAAGAGGGTCATTGGGAAGCTGCTGGCCTTCTTTTAGGACACAGGGACAGCTTCCAAACACTCTCTCTCCCAGTTTAGCATCAAGTTACAAAGTGACCTACAAGCCATAACATAGATGCTTGCTGTCATTTTAAAAGCAGCCTTTCTTAAAAAGGAAGGGGCAGAAACGTACAATTAAACTACAGACCTGCCATTACTCCTCAACTTCCTCTGAAACAAAAACATCATGTGGCATTAGGACTGATCTCTCTCCCACTTTTAAGTCCAGGTTCTGGACTCTGCCAACCTGTACATGAGCCCCAATGAAATATATGCAGCTTACCACTGTATGAATGAGAGGTCAGCAAGCTCCAGGGTCATTTTAATGGCCCTAGGACCCCCCAGGAAAAATCCTGATTAGTCCCTCCGAAAGAAACAAGAAGTGACTACATGCTTCTACTTCGAAACAATTTTTTTAAAAAGAAAACTACGTTTAAAAAAGTTAGGATCCATACCTCTTTTGAGACATGTTTCCCCCATTTAAAACAAGGGTCAGAAAAATATTTTTGGGGGATGGGGGGCCATAAAAACAATCTTGGAACTTGCAAACTACTTATCATTGTAAACCTACTCTTGAAGACCGCTGTGTGTAGCTACCTAATTTTATGTTCACATTAAAAATGAAGAACATTTCTTTATTCATTATACAGTATCATATTCCACCTTTGCTACAATAAATAAATGGTGGTGTACATGGCTTTCATCCCTCTACTCCTTTATTCTCACAATAACTCTGTGAGGGAGGGCCAGGTTGAAAAGCAGTGATTGGCCCCATATCAGCCAGTAAGAAAGGAAGTGGCCACTGACACCAGCACCTTGGGGAGAATGCAAAGGAAAGAGTTAATCTCTCCTTCTTACAATCCTGATCCTGGTAAACCTTCCCTCTGCTGCCCAGAGGCTTCCATTTATAAAGTTTTAAAAATACACGAAATGCCAGAACACATATTAACCATGACATCAGTTTTGGAACTTGGAAGAGTTAGACTTTCACATCAGAAAAAGGCTTCTTTTATTCCGTTGACTTCTGTAGGTCTTGTAATAAATATGCAGATACATTGTACTAAGAGATCAGATTGCAGGACTGTTTTCACCTGCCAAAACGCAGTATTTTACAGTGGTTCATTTAAGCAATTAACTGACTAAATGTTGCAGCCCTAAATGACAATCAGCTGCACCCAAGTCCACACACTGAATGTTAAAGGGGCATTACATAATTTGTTTGTTTGTTCTTTTTTAATATTTGCCCACTTATTGTTTTAGCTTTAACATTGTCTTTTAATGATGTAAACTGCCTCTTTATACTCATTGTTCTTAGCTTTGAATATTGCCTTTTAATGATGTAAACCATCATTGTATACTCACTGTTTTCAGCTTTAAATATTGTCTTTCAATGTTGTTTCAATGTTGAGTCCTTATTGGAGGAGAAAGGTGGGATAAATATATTTTAAATAAATAATTGCAGAGCCTGGGATACTTAATTTTTGGACTACAACACTCAGACTTCCACAGTCAGCTGTAATAATAAAAAGGTTTTTTCCCCATGTTCTGGAAAAATGTAGCCATATTGAAACAGACACCAAATGTGGACTTCTGATCAGTTGCAATGCACATCTCTGTGAGAAAACAGAATGTATTTTCCTTTCAGACCGAGGTGCCCCAAGGCCAAATTCTGCTGCATGCCACAGAAACAACTTTCCTATCTCCCTGTTCCCACCATGCCACTCCTTGGGAATTAGAGCTGCACCACCTTGACTCCAAACCACACACCATAATGCTCCAGTTGTTTAAATAGTGCTAGCTTGTGGGAACCTTAATCTCATCAACCAACCGTTATTACCCAAGTTCCTCTCACTCATATATATACACACATACACAGACACTCCATGGTCTGAGCATGCCTCATTTTGATATGGTGGGATGGGGGTAATCTCCTGCTCAGACCACAATCCCCCTTCAAATGGGACACATAAACACACAAAATCCCATCCAAAGACACAATTTACCGTATTTTTCCATGTATAAGACTACACGTTTGTCTAAAATATTTAGACTAAAAATTGAGGGTCATCTTATACACGGAAGTAAGCTGAGGAGAGAACAAAAACAAGTGTAGGGGAAAGCAGGGATCAAAGTGATCCTGCAGGGCTTTGATCGCTGCTTTCGCCCCCACTTGCTAAGCCCCAATTAGATTTCTTAATTTGGGGTTAGAAAAGTGGGGGGGCGTCTTATACATGGGGGCATCTTATACACAGAAAATACAGTAAATTCTCCCCTTCCCTGAAGGCACTACGAAGTCTGCTCCTAGTTACCTGAAGTTTTCTTCATTTCAGCCACCTCATTTAGGTATGGGGAAAAGTCTTTTGGTTATTGCTATCTTTAAATATATTGTAGAACCCTGGAAAGCTACCCAGAGATATGCTGGTAATCCCTAACCTATCTTTCTGCCCACCTATGCCATATTGGACAGCAACTTTATGCCAGAGGAATTCTATCAATAAAAGGCATTAACTACCCTGCTGCCCACAAGTCCTGTTCTCAGACATTCACTAAATCCCTGTGCCAGCTGTCTGGGAACACATGGTCTGCCCATGACACAAGTCCTGTGGCACATAGCTGTGGCTCAGTTGCTCATTATAGTCTTCTGTGGGCAGCTAACTGGCATGAACACTAGTTGTGAAAAAGAATACAGTACTATGCTAAGGCACGGTGCAGTAACTTCAGAGTAACTGGGGGCCAACTTTTCACTTCAAGGACTTACCTGGCTAAGCCTCCCAAATGGGCAGAAAATCCATCTCAGGTACTACTGGAAGCCCATTTCTAGTGGGTTTAAGGCCCAGCTCCATCTTACTGCAAAACTATGACTCCTAGAGTGGAAATAGATCCCCCCCCCTTAGATTCCCCTTCCAGTACAAATGTATACAGGGTTGCAAAAGCAGGCCTGCTTTTGGTTTGTTTTAGAAACAAACCTAACCAATCACTTTGCCCAACTCTGCTATGCTGATCTCATACGTTCATATCATTATTAATTCTACCACACAGTGTATCAATTGATGGTTTGCCATACGAATTTTACTCAATTAATTAAAACTGTACTCCGGACAATAAGGAATAGTTTAAAAAACAAACCAACCAAAAACCTATTTTACCCTTTTTCAGATGACCCAAGAACATACCATAGCAAACACCACCTTAAAAGAAGCATCCTCCATCCTGTATGTGGCAGACTGAAGGGAGAAGATGCTAATTATTACGATGCTTGTTATCTGCAATTTCTTAAGCGCTTTAATTAGGAATAGTCAAGTCCTAAGAAACTGGTGCCCACATTCACACATACTTAGGGGTGTAAGCTTATACGGTAATATTTTAACTAATGAAACAGCTTGTAAAACATTTAAATTACTGTATTTTAAGTGCCATTAAATTCAGATGTTTAGCCCTTGTCTTTTATTAGTCCACACAGTTCTGAACTGAAACATGAGGAACATATTTCAGAAGCCTTAAATCACACAAAACGGACATAAACACAAATACAGTACAACATATTCCAGGTCTGTATCTAGACCTCTGGTCTAGATAGGCGGGATAGAAATCTAATAAATAAATAAAAATAAAATATTATTATTACTACCTTAACCTGGCTCACCTTTTGAACATTGGGAGTATCTCTTTTTTCTACTATCTCCTTCTGACCATATCCACTCCGATCTGCCTTATCCTCCCTATCAGAATTCCTTATTTATTTTATTGCATTTACACCACCAGTTAGTGCTCTGCGTACCTTGTGACAGGTGGAAATCCAACTGGCTAAGCGTGCCTTAGGCTAAAGACCCCTTGATGGGCTGCCGGGATGGAAGCTTGAATAATACACTTTTCCCCTGTAATACTAGACAGCTGTTCAGACCGCCACAAAAGTCGTGGCCAGCTGGATTGTAATGTGCTTTTCTTCCCTAACCCTCAGCCCCCATCAGGGAATTCCCTTTCTCCACACGACGGTACGGGGGTTTTCTCGTCGCTATGGGGGCGGTAGTAAATTTCCACCACCCGCACTTTTCTGCCCTAGATAGTTCCCATCAGAGACTTTCCCCCCTCCCTTACCGGGCTGTTCCCCATGACCTATCTTTCATCCCCTTTTCAGCCGCAAGCAGCCCCCCTTCGCGCCCACCCCCTGATAGGAAGCCGACCCCACCGGCGCAAACCAGACCACCACCTACCTGGCCGCACCTATGCGCACCGCGGTGGAGACACCTGGGCAGCGGACGCGGGAGTCCTGGCGCTTTGCAAGCGTGGCCACGTTGCATCAGCCAGCCCTCTCTCGAGGCGGGAGAGGCGAGGCGAGGCGGGCTAGAGACCAGCCCCTGTCCCCGCCTAGAGGGTTTGGCACACGGCCTTCTCTTGGCTCTTGACTGCTCCGCTTTCTTGTGACGTGGGTGGAAACGGGAAAGATGGCGCAATTTTTGGGGCGGTTGGTGAGGAAGGCGCCCTACCTCAGCCTCAAAAGTCCCGGAGCACCTTCTTTGCTCCAGGCAAGACCTGCCAACACCACGGCCTTCCTCCGCCCCACACTCACCCTGGGGTAAATGCAAAGTGTGCAACGCCCCATAGCACTTGAAGCCCTCTCTGGGCAGTTTACAGTTTTACTTATGTAGGCTACACATTGCCACCCCCATATCCTCAGCGAGCTGAGTACTCAGTTTACTAACTCGGAAGTATGGAAGGCTGAGTAAATCTTGAGCTAATGGTTGCTGAGCTGGCTATATATCTGTGAAGATTCTCAGTCATCCAGGTGAGATTTCACTTCAGCTGTCTCATGGCCACTGGATTTCTTTGTTAGTAGGTGAAACGTTTCGCTACTCATCCAAGTACAGTAGCTTCTTCAGTCTGAGGAGAGTTGGTAGGAGACCTCTGATACAGTATATCTTCCACGTTGGTTTCACTTCAGCTGCCTAGGAGAGTCTTGACTGCAGTACTGCAGTTTAACCATTGTGTCACAAGGCTTTGGACCCACAAACTTGACTGCAGATGTTGTGGGGGGGCCCAGATGTCGCTGAATCGTAGTTTCCATAGGCTCTTAGTCAGCACAGGCAGTGATGAAGGATGAGGGCAAGTGGTGGCCCAACAGCATCTGGAGGGCCACATCATCTTCTCTGTGGCAGCTCCCAGATTATGGAATGCCTTCCTTCTGGAGATTTCCAGTCAGGTCTTTAAGAACTGGGTCCTATGTGCTGGTTGTTAGCTAAGTAAGATTGTTCTGAAAGTTTGAAATGTTACTTGATGTACTGTATTTTTAAAAATTATTATTGTAGTTTAATTTACCATCTCTTTAATTTTACTTGTTTTAACGTTGTGAGCTGTCTTGAGTACCCTCATTGGGACAAAGGTAGCCTACAAATTATTAAATGAATTAATGAACAAATAAAAGGATTCCTTAGGTATTTCAAGGTTTATTATTTCCAAGCTTCCTGCCGTCCTTGTCCCCCAACCCACACAAGCAGCAACCCCACCTAGATCATACATTCCACAAACACACCCCACTTTTCTGTGGGTTTTTCTAACCAAAGGAAAGAGAAAGTAGAAAAATAAAATGGCACAAAGAAAGAAGGGAAGAATAGAAAAAGAAAACGGAAGAGGAAATGGAAAAGAGGAATAAAAAGAGAACTCTGATGCGTCCCAGATTCAAATGCATTAAGTACTAAGATTAAAAAGAAAGGGTTTTCTTTCTTTCTTTTTTGGTCATCTGTTTCTTTTTACATTCTTTGTGGTATTGTAGACAGGGCTGAAGTTAACATGGATAAACTAGGACTTTGCTCCAGAACATAAAATTTATGGGCACCGAAATTTAGAGGCAAAACTACTGGTGACTGTTAGTAACGTAAATAGCAGCACCTCCTAGCTAATCCTATCCACTTTTTTTAAAAAAATGAAAGCATCAACTTTCTTTTTGTGGGGGTTGACATCGCAATCACTTCTTTTTTTCATGGGAGCTTGTACGCATACCACAGAGCAGAGTTGGGGGAGAAGGTGCTGCTTATCCCAGAATGGCAAAATGGCTACTTACAGTTCGGGCTGGCATACAATTTTATAGATGCCATTGATGATCCAGATTGACAGTTAAGTGCCAGGGCAAATCAAGCCTGAATTTTGAAGTGAAACAGGACTAAAATTGTAGACTATTGTGATCAAGTTGGAACTGAGTTATAGCGACCCTAATATAGGGCTTTCAATGTAAGCGAGATATTTAAAGAGTGTTTTTATTAGTTCCACTCCCGCAGTGAGATTCCATGACTGAGAGGTGATTTGAACCCAGGCCTCCCAAGCCCTAATTCATCACTCTTATCCACTGCATCACACTGGGTATCAGCAATACTGTACTTCTACATAAAAAACGGGTTACATTTTTGTTATAGGAAGCCAAACAAGCCTTATTGAGAGTATGGAAGAACCTTGGAGAGGGGGAACTTTTTTAAAAATACCATTACAAACGGGTGTGTAATTTAGCATTACCTGAGAAATTAACACAGAAAGTTAAAAGAATAAGACACCTCTCAAGATAACATGTTTGATATGATTTGCTTTCCCTTTGTTTCTCGAATAGACTGTGCTGAGGCAAAGTCATGCTGAGATAAACCCATTTATTTAATTATCTGTCCTAAAAATCATTGTTATCCCTATTTAGTTTGGGAGGATAAAGGCTATGACTAGTATTTTCACTTTCGGGATTCATTGTCTTTTATCTGCTATATATTCTGCAATAGTTAATAAGTTATTCTTGCTGTTTGTGTTTCTTTGGTTACAACACAGTGGAACTCTGGATAATGTGAATTCTTATCTTGAAATTAAAATTTAAACAAATGAGCCAACTAGATCTGTTTGCTATGGCCAAACTAGATATGATGGCCAGTATTTGAGGCTGCAGAGGATAGTGTTCTTCCACACAAACACTTCACACATTTTTTGCTTACACCACACCAGACATCAACCTGTTGAAATGAACAGAGCTTTATACATATCAATATGTATAAGTATACTTATACCTGCTATACTTATACAGTGGGGTCTTGACTTGAGAACTTAATCCGTATTGGAAGGCAGTTCTCAAGTCAAAACAAACACTTCACACATTTTTTGCTTACACCACACCAGACATCAACCTGTTGAAATGAACAGAGCTTTATACATATCAGTATGTATAAGTATACTTATACCTGCTATACTTATACCTGCTTATCAAACACACTATCATCACAATGTTTTCTGACTTCCTTACCTACCAACCATAACCTTGATGCCACATATAAATATTTGCTATGTTGCATCTCCTTCTCTTATGTCTAATGAAGTCCATGAAAACTCACATTAAAAATATAAAAGTTAGTCTCTAAGGTGCCACCACATTTTTGTCTGTCTTTATTATTGTTTTTCCATCTCACCTTAAAAAAATATAAAAGTTAGTCTCCAAGGTGCCAAAACATTTTTGTCTGTCTTTATTATTATTTTTCCACCTATAATGCTTGGACAAACAAACACAGTGACCCCTTAGACAACTACATACAGTACTTACACAGGAAGGTTGTGGATACCGTCCTCTGCAAACTCAGAAAAAAAAAATCCAACTGGTAGCATGTAAGACTACCATGAACAGAATAGAGAATACAAACTTGTTTGGCTATTATAGTAGTCCAAAATAGATGTCAGAGGAATAAAATGAAATTTGGTTCTGCCACCGTAGTGCAGTGTGGGTCTCCTTGGAAATAAGCACCATTTTATTGTAGAAAGAGATCATATATTTTTAAAGCAATACTGTATGTATAAAAGAAGTAAATTTAGTTATGCTCATCTAGACAGCAATCCCATTTTTTAAAGGAAGAGGAAATAAAGGATGTAGTTTCCTCCCACAAGTAGTTTGTACAAGAGACATAGGGCAGCTGAGTTTCTAAAAAGCAATTATTTTTCCCCATGCTTCTAGCCATCATACATTGCTTTGTAAATTAGCTCATAATTTAAAGACATCCAAGACTTAACAGTAAGAAACACAGATGCTAATCAAAAGATCTCGTGCAGCATAACAAGTAAAACATGAAAAGTGCAGGTCATATATTTGGATATATAAACCAAATAAGGAACATGATAGAGTTAGGTGTATGGTGTGTGTGTGTACTAAATACTGTAATCTTTAGGATTCTTTCCAACTCGTACGGTTCTATGGTATTCTGAAGCTGGCAAGGCCAGAAGAGGGCAGCTTTTTAAAATTCTGTTTGCCATTGCCTCTTGTGGTGAGTTGTCAGGCCTGCAGCTAAAAGGAAGCTCTTTCTGTCAGTTTCTTCCTTCTCCGGCTCTGGTGTGCTCTCTCCTTCCCGCCTCTCCCATCACCCATGCTGGTCACTCAGTGCTTATACAAGGGCTTTCTGTCTGAGCTGGGGCTCTGTCTGTGTAGCAAGATTTTCCTGGCTTGGATTTGTTTTTGAGGCGCTGACTCAAGTCTCGATTCACCTCTGACAGCAGCCTGTAGCTCAGCTCAGCCCAAACACACACACACACACACACACACGGCCCCCAACCCACTATTTCGTCAGAGATCCCAACTGTGTTCCACAGGATGACATACTGGCAGAAACAACAAAGGAAGGAGAGCCATGGGAGAAGGCAGTAGAGAAAGGAGAATGTTATGGAAATGGAAGATACACAGAGCTTACATTTTCAGTTACATTTGCTTAGGTATACTTTTAGATCTGAATACAGATGACCAGGCAGAGCTATCTCAAGCCACCATTATGCCTGAGGCACAACAGCAACTCCCTCTGCATCCAAGACAAGGTACCTAATCCAGCTATAAGTTGTTGGCACAGGAGAAAGAAAATCCATCAGGCACCTCTGGCCCATCCTTTGCATTAAAACAACTTTGATGTTTATTTTAAAAAGAAAACAGAACAAAATA